TAATACTGGTCTATATGTACAACAGGTGTTTTTCTCTCTTGCCTTGGCTCACACAAGCATGATTTTTAAAGACCAGGGATGTAATCTTTGGTTTATTTAATCCTGAAGCATAGGTGCAAGAGAACACTCAACACAGCTATAACCATTGGGTAAACATTTTTTTTTTTTTAGCTGGAAAGCACAGGAATATTCCAGTCCAGTTTCCCATCATCAACAGCAGAGGCACAGTATAATGTTTTTTATTCATGGTTGTGGATTGCAACTTGGAATTTTAAATACAAAATGTGAAAGTGCAACTAAATTTTATAAAGCATTTTAGTCCAGACATTTTTATTGCAAGTGTTGCCACATATTTCTTCACAAAAAGGAAAAACTCTTATTGTTCTTCATCAAGCAAATAATAAATGTTCAGAATTGACCCTGGCAAAAAGCACCCAGGAGAAAAGAGCCCAGCTCTCTGATCACAGAGCTCATCCAGGAATAGAGTTTTGAGCCAAATAATATATTAAACTTGAGCAAAAGATGTCTTTTTTCCCTCAAAGGGATCTTTAAAATATATCATTATGATTTTTTCTTCAAAATAAGCAGGATACACAGTTCATAAAGCATCCAACCAGCACAGGTGCAACAGAATCTGAGAATATCTTGATGAGTAGTGTGAAAAATTCACCCAGTTCCCAGCAAGCATGCCATCCATGACAGAAACCAATGTCCATATATTTATATGTATAGAGTTATGCCTCTACATAACTATTAAAGGCACCTGCATGCCACTTATGATACTTCCAATATTACAGGATCCAAGGCATGCAGGAGCAGGGAAAAATGCACAAGATTGCAGTGCTAGTGACAGGTGTGATGTGAGCTCTTCAGGCTGATACTTTAAAGAAATGGGCACCCCTTCTGCAAACAGATAACATGTCATCATGATGCATTTCCACATGGTAATGCATATTTTTGTCATTTCATTTGACAACCCTGCTGAAATATATTGTTTCATTAGGTATACTTGACATTTTGGGTCTGTTGTATAAATTTATCAATTTCTTGTATGCAGTACAATGTCCTTTCAACAAACTCATTATGGAACTTTGGAAACAGTTTGTTGTACTGATATTTTCAAAACATTATTGACTGGGGACATTAAAAAAAGTAAACCTGCAAATATTCAACATCTTCCTTTTGTGGCATTATCAGATGTTTATCAGTTTTTAAAAACTGTGATCTTTAAAAAGAAATTCAAATGTTAATAACAAACATTTACTCTGGATAACAGGCAAACACCAACACTTTTTAAGGACTTCAAGTTTTTCTAAAACAATTCCTGGAGAGATTTGTGAGGCTGGATGTTTGAAACAAGTTTACAGTTACTTTCAAGTATCAGTTGGGGTTCTCAAGCATACAAAACCCATTTTAAAATTAGTTTTGATGGGTATACAGATTTTTCATGTGACCCCCCTTTCCCATTTTTCCTAACCCAGGAAACCTTTTTCAAATGGGGGATGTGCAGGTGATTTTTGAAGATTTTTAATTGTCCTTGATTTATATCCCAATAAGAACCAGTCACAGTTCCATTTTGAATGGGGAATCTGAAAACATGCCATTGGGGATTTTTCATCAGGAAAATCACATCATGTTCCACAAAAAAGTTTGTTATACTGGAATTGGAGAGTTTATTGTTGTAAAATGATTTTTATAACATGTATCCTATAGGATTTCTGCCAGGACTTGGAAAAAGGTTGGTTATACTGAAAAATTTGTTTTAACGGTATTGGTTGCAATGAGATTTGACAGTATCACATACAGTACAGGGAAAGAGACTAACAGTTTTGATTTTATATATACTATTGACCAAATTTTTTTACTCTTATTGGTGAGGAACATTCCCATCTCAAGACTCTCAGTTTGTTATACTGGAATTTGGAGAGTTATTGTAGTTGTAACATGATTTTTATAAGATTTACCCCATATAGGATTTCTGCAAGGACTTGGAAAACATTTTGTTGTACTGAAAAATTTGTTGTAACGGTATTGATTTTTAATGAGATTTTGCTGTACTGTATATTACAGGGAAGGCAACTAAAACTTTTGATTTCATATATATCCTATTAACCAAATCTTTTTACTCTTATTGCTGAGGAACATTCCCATCTCAAGACTCTCAGTTTGTTGTACTGGAGTTGGAGAGTTTAAAAAAAATAATATGTACCCTTTAGGATTTCTGCCAGGACTTGGGAAAAAGTTTGTTATACTGAAAAAATTTAGTAGATTAAAAAATTAATCTAAAAAATCATGTTTTGAAAAAGGAAAAAATAACCTTAAATGTGGTGCGCATGGAGATTGTTGGGAAGAAGTTAAATACAAATGAAATAGATGCACACCACGTTCAAGGTTATTTTTTCCTTTTTCAAAACGTGTAAAAGATTGCATTGTCATCAGTCTCTAAGCTATCATGAAAGTTTCAGCTTGCTAGCTAGTTGGGAAGTGAGCGAAATTTGAGCTGCAAAATTTGACCCATACAAACAAACGGACAAGAAAGTGAGTTAATAAAAACGTGTTAAAATGGGTTGTAACGGTATTGGTTTTAATGAGATTTAACTGTACCACATATTACAGGGAAAAGGGACTCAACTTGAAAAAATTGATATATCCAATTATAACCAAAAGGATCTGTTTATAATACTCATTTTGCTGAGGAACATTCCCACTTCATAAAGAGAATTTCCCCAGCCAAAACCAGAGCCCCAGCAATCAGTCCCAAAGCCCAGCAGAAAAACACACTGACCACATTCTCCAGCTGCAAGACCATAGCATTATCCCCAGCATCAGCAGCAGATGCCTTCTGGTGCAGACTCTGTGCCAAGTTGAGCAGAGTCCTGGTGAACTGGGACTCTCTGGCCAACTTCCTTTCATACTGCAGCAAGCCAAACCTTGCCAGCCTCTTGAGATACTTGTTGAGAGACTCACCCACTATCCCATTGAAAGGTGCAGCATATGCAATGGGGAAACAAGTGAGCTTTGCCCTGCTCACCACAAACTGGTCTGGGCCATTCCTCATGGCAGCTTCCCAGGCATCACTGTAGGGCTCAATGAGGCCAAACCTGTCCCCACCCACTTGGCTCATGGGCTCATAGGCCCACCATAGCTCATAGGGTCCAGTGATGACCAGTCTTTGCCAGAGTTCTTCATAGATTGGTATGACTCTGCTCTTGTTGAGGAAGTCATCTATGCTGTCTCCCCAATCCACCCTGATCATCTTGTAGTTCCTGCTGCTGTCCAGGAACTCCCTGAGGGTCTCAGGGGTGGCCTCCATCTTGGGCACAGTCAAAGTGGAGATGAGGAAAGTGGAGTAGGCAAACATGACAAACATGGTGTAGATGATCCACACCATCCAGACACACCTGGGAGACACTCTGTTGGTCAAGTGCCTCTCTTCAGCCCCAAAGCCCAGCATGCCTTCAAAATACATAAACACCAGGGATTCCCATGACCTGTGCCTGGTGACATGCAACACAACCCTGGCCCTGTGGTCAAGAACAGAAGTGAAAACCAGCAGACCCAAGAGTGCAGCCCAGAACCATGCTGGGAATGGGTCAAACATGGTGAACAGGATGTTTGATTGCACAGGTCTAGGGGCCCTGGTCACTACAGACACACATTCCTCTTCCCAGGACTCCAGGTACACCACTGATGGTGGGTAGCTGGGGATGGCATTCAGTGCAGAGCAGCCCAAGTCAGCCTCATGTCTCTGGATGTCTCCTATGATCCCTGACCATGACCCATTTGGATATTCTATGCCCCATTCCTCATCAGCAGTTACATGACACTCCACAGAAGCATTCAGGTGTGCAGTCAACTCCAAGAGAACAACAAAGTCTGGGCCACCAACTTCCTCAACCTCTTTGTCCTCATTGGTGGTCACTACTGTGAAAGGGGGGTATTCCAAAGTGGACACTTGGAAAACATGTCCCTTGAAGTCTGAGACCAGAGTTGGAGACTGGAGCTGTGGTGCTTTATTTGTGACCCTGAGTCTGCAGATTCTCCTGGAGTCAGCATAGATTTGTACATAAACCCACTTTTGAGTCTCTGGGAAGTACCATAGACTCAGAGAGAACCCCTTGGCAGTCCTTGGATTGCAATGTCTTTGCACATCAGCATTAACTGCACTCATGGGAATGTTATTTTTTACCACTACAACACTGGGCTTGTCTGGCACAAAGAACACATTCCAGGTCATGGCCTCCCACTCAATCTGGGCCCAGGTGTCCACTACAGTCACCACCAGGAGATTGGATCTTTCAGCTTGACTCAATGAGGGAATGATTTTGACTGGTGACATGTTGGCCATGAGCAAAGCTGCTGTTGAAGCTGCAAAGGGCTCATTTGGCTCAGGTACAACCACTTCCACACTCTGGCCACTCAAGAGGTGAACCAGAGGTAGGACCACAGCAGGGGCCACAAGTGCATCCTTTATTGGCACTATGCTTTCTGCTGCTTTTGTGATAACCACCAGCATCAGGAACAGGATGAGGATCTCAAGCACTTCCATTGCTCACACATTAACAAGAGGACTTTTCCCCCTTCTTGTGGGGTATATACAAGGTGCACTATAACAGCCAAAAGGTCTGGTATTTGAAAGAGAAATACCTTGTTTGTACAAGGAGGAATGTAATGACACCCATCCTCAGCCACAGTTGAATATTTCACAGCCCCTGGAGTGGCAAAACACACAATAAGGGATGAATGGACTGTTGACATCCTGCTGTCCTCACAAGAACATCATGCATGATGAAATAGGACAGCCATTGTGTACTTGTATATATATATGATGGTCACATCAATGTGAGGAAACAGATAATGAGCATGTGATGTCCTTGTGTCATGGCTGATTACAGGGTTCAGACATGATAGTACCAATGCTCATTTTACTCAATCATGAGTGAAACTGATGAAGGGTCTCTGTGTGAAATATGCCATGTCCAGCAAGAAAGTGTTTGAAAACAATATTGCCCAGCTTTTATTCTGTCTGCATCTATAACATGTCTGTCCAGGCAAAATCTGTGGATGACTTTGAAATTAAATGGGACATCATATTTTCCTATGAGGAAACAGAGAAGCTGTCTTGTGATTGGCACTCCTTGGAAACCCTTGACCAGAGAATCCAGTTTCTGTTTGAGACACCTGCTCTTCAAAAAATTAAGATACACCCTAAAACTGAGGTAAACCACCTGGTCCAAATTTTTTTTTGGAAAGTAACATTTGTAGCATGTTTATAAAAATTATACAGAAGCTCATGAAATTTTTAAAAAACTTTTTTAAAACTATACTCAGTTTATATTCAACAGAGCATTTTTTTCCTTTTGGATTTTTAAAACCATGATTTTCATCTTATGGAATTGTCACATTTTTATTGCCAAAATATTTTAGTCTTACACAAATGGTAAAAACCCCTTTTTCTCTCCTATATTTTTCCTAATTTTTGAACTTGAAAAATTTCCCTCAATACTGCCCAAAATAATCAGAAAAGTGATGAACATATGTAATTTTAAATTTCATTCTGATGAAAGCATTTATTGATTATTTAATTTAATTTTTCTGTGTCTTGAATTGTTCAAAGCACATCTAGAAAAATTACTTGTCTGACTATACAGTACAGTCCAAAATATAGAAATAAAAACAAAACTTTTTCAGCAAAAAAGTGGCAGCCAGTCAGAAGAGCTCAGACAAGCTGGCAATGAGCACATGAAACATGGTGCCCTGAAACAAGCCCTGGCAGCTTACAATCTGAGCCTCCTGTATGCACCACATCCTTCAAGTGATGACTCATCATCATCATTGACAGCTGGAAGCACTTGTGCAACACTGTTCAACAGGGCAGTGTGTTTGTACAAGTGGCACAGGTACAGAGAAAGTCTGAATGACCTCAACACTGCTACCCTGTGGTGCACATCAGATGCCTTGCTGCAAAAGATGCAGGACATGACAGGGAAAGTCTTGAAGGAGTTGTCTCATGTTGGTCATGATACAGACAACTTGGCTTGTGGAGGTACTGTATATATAAAGAGACCATCACATATACATTTGTCAATATAACCATTAAATTGCACATATTTGTTATCATTAAAAATTAATATTAGTACTTTCTGATGATCTAATTTCAAACTTAAAATCAAACCCTTTTTGGCATTTACCAATGGGACAACACAAAGAGAGAAATGACAAGAGGAAAATAAGAAAGCTTATTCAATGTAGTTAATCCTTCCAATAAGAATTCAGATGTAAATTTGTAGAATCAAGATAATAATTATAATACTCTCCTGACCTGACCTTTGACACAGAAGGACATGTCCTTCATACCCAGATCTGTACCAAGATCTGTCCCATAATCAAGTACCTTATCAAGGTACAAAACTATATAATATTCCTTGAGATTTTGTGCATATAAACCCCTACTGGCAGATTCTCCCCAAAACAGGCATTAGTGCAAAACTCCTGTGTAGGAAATCTCTTGAGTGTTGCCAAGTCTCTTGTCTTGTGTTGTATGGTTTTTGTACTTTTTACAATAACGAATTTATTTCTAAGTTCAGAGAAAAGATGAAGTTATTTCTCAGTGCACCTCCCTCAGAAGGAGACACACAAAATCAAGAAGGTTTCAATCTTCCTTAAAAGAATGACCAACATTATTATACTCCTTTCATTCCCAAACAGATGGTGGAAAGCAGCCAATTATGATACTAGACTCCAACCCAGGTTTGCCAAAATGCCATTGAAAGACAACTTTGAATCAAATTGATAATCATATGGTTTCTGATTTGTTTACGTTATTATATAGGTACAGCAGATGTTCAAGTAGCTGATGGAGGCCATGTTTCTGATGAGGAAGACAGCAAGCAAATGTCTAAAATTGATCCCAAATTCACCCTGAGCATGTCAGCACCAAGGAACAATGATTATCCTCCTGCATCTGCTGCAATTGGCCTCAGCCAACTTCCCAACAAGGGCAGAGGATTTGTAGCCAAAGAAGACATTGCTCCTGGTATATATACTTTTCACAGACCATTCTGTCGTATATTTTGTACTGGAAAAGATGTCTCCCATCATAATTGGGTTTTTGAGGCCAATTATTATGCTCTCCCAGGTCTTTGCCTTGAGGTTCAATGATAAGAAAAAAAGATTGTTATCCAAAAACTATTTTACAGAAGTGGGTGATCAACAATGATCAGTGGTTGAGAGCTACTTCTTATAATTAAAGGAAAGGAGGATCAGAGATTTAAATTGTTTTCCGCAACTTTCAAAGGAAACGCAAAAGCTACTCCGTGAGAGTATTTTCAAGTATTATTTATTATACCTTCACACACGGTCAATACAATACAATTCTACAGAGCAAAGCGGCGTAGACTCGGTGTTTGGACAAGGTCTGGTGCAGTAAACTTATCGCAACATAAAATGCACCTGTATATATAGCTTTGGCTGGCCAAGGTTGAGGAACGCGCATAGAAACCGATTTGGATCGGGGACGTCACACTTTGTTTATTTAAAGGAAAGAAGCGTGAGCGTGGTTGGCCGGGAAAGTATTCCATCAACAACGGGATTGGGAAATATAATTGCTAGCGCACCAGACGCAGCCAAGTGTAGCGGAAATACATTAGCTTAAAAGGGTAACGCGTAAAGTGAAGGGTGTTGTGGTCGTTAATCTGACTACAAATGCTTATAATACTTGAAAATACTCTCACGGAGTAGCTTTTGCGTTTCCTTTGAAAGTTGCGGAAAACAATTTAAATCTCTGATCCTCCTTTCCTTTAATTATAAGAAGTAGCTCTCAACCACTGATCATTGTGGTCGTTAATATGACTACAAGATGAATGAACAAGTTTCCATTATTAATCTTTGTTTGGGACCCAACAGGGTTTTAAATGTAAAAATAAAGTTTTCCAAGTGATAACAAGAAAACTAAAACTTTTGCATCAATCAACTATAATACAATATATTTTTGCATTACTCAAATACATTTCAAACACTCAAAAAACATAGTAGAACATTTAAAAAATACTTCTGAAAATGCACAAGGATGTTTCCCTGAGAATAAGTGCTTCTGTGGTCAGGAGGACTGATAACTTACTAAGGTCAGTGAGTAAACTATTCAAAAATTCATGAGACCTTCAAATTTCCCCAAAACATAATCTGTCCTGCATTCCTGGGCATAAATCTTGATCAAAGGGCTAACTTCAGTAATGAGGAGATTTATATATTCCTTATTGCCAGGTAGCTTCAAATGAAGACTCCTCCAGAATTCTTATAAAAGAACAGCAGTGTTTATTGTTGTATTCAAGAAGTATATGGGCAATGACAAAATACTGATATAAAATAATGAAATTATTCTGAAATTGTACTTTGATAATAATTGTCACTCACATGGGGATCTATAGGGAAACACATTTTGGAAATCACCATGTGAAACTTGAAGTTTCACAAGAAAACTTTAAAGAGATGCAAAATTGCCATGCATAATTTTGCAACAGAAAAGAAAACCTAATGGTCTTTTAAATTTTTATGTGAGAGGTTAGATTCTAAATATGACCCAAGTTTCAAGATATTTGAGATGAAACATTCAAGTGTTTTGGGAGCCAATGTGCCTTCAGAAAGTTGAAGGATATTTTGGAAACAATAACAATAAAAATGGAAACATACTGTGATTGTCATGGTTTCCTGTGAAGATAATGTAACTCAAATCTTTATTCTGAAATTTAAATTTCCTTTGTGTGATTTTTTTTCTCCATGACAAAATGTGAAAGCATTTGCATAATGTGGTACATCATTCAAGTTATGTGGGCAATTTTCATAACCTTCTGCTTATAGTTGTATATGATGGACTTTTGGCTGAGGATGACCATTTATTGCACTCAGAAGAAAGTTTACCAGAGTTGAATTTTGATCTTGAAGTATACTGTACAGTACAGAAGTTTTTTTAAACATAATTATGCATAATGGCAGGTTATATAGACAACTGATTTGTAATCATTTCTTTGGGTTGACAGGGACTGTGGTCATCATGGAAGAGTTCTTTGCAGCAGTGCCTTTCAAACTGGTTGCAGACCACCATTGCTACAACTGTCTCAGGAAAACAGAGACATTCTGGCCATGTGAACATTGTGCCATTGTAAATATATGCAGCAGCAGCTTCCATTTTAAACAGTAAACAAGCAAGATTCATTCAGCATTTTTGTGTGTGAATACATGACAGGTTTTCTTCTGCTCCCAACACTGTGCAACTCAGGCCACATGGCACAAGACAGAATGCACCTATGCTTTCAACATAAAGCATGCACCTGAGGCCCTCAGGATTGCCAACAGGATTGTTCTGAAGGCTGGATACAAATTCCTCATGGAGCACAGAGAGAAACTGGAACATGCCATGGACACAGGAACAGTGAGTGATGATGCATTTACTTTGTATAAATCCCTAAAAAAAAAAAGAAAGTGTTTCATTTTCCACCCAATGTTCTGCATGTAAGGATTTGTCAGGAGATGATCTCAGGATGGATGACTACTTCAAAGTGTTTTCCCTGATGACCAATGAGGACCTTGTGGAGACAGAGTTGTTGTTTAGGTTTGCTGTGCTGTCTTCAGTGGTCACAAAGCTGCTACTGGAAGCAGGATTCTTCTCTGACAGCAGTTTGATCAAGGATGAGGCTGTTTACATAACAAAACTGATTTATAGACACTGTCTCCAGGCACTTTGCAACACCATCACAGTTTTTGAGGTAACTTCTGTCATCATTCTTGGTACACAAAACATTTTAAACCAACTTCATCAAATGAACCTCTTTAGATTATTGTAGAACCTGATAAAATAAATGCTTATATAATAGTCCCATTAGTTGAAATTCAAATGATGTTCTGCCAGTCACTGCAAATCAAAACTAACCCATTGGAGAATGAATTTAATATTTTGCTGTACATGATTTTTGTTGAGTTCTAATTGAAAAATAATATTCTAAATTAAATATTCTAGCACTTATTGAATATATGTTCTAAATATTCAAGCCCTTCAAGCAAATCATTTGAGATAAACCTTGAAAACCTGTGTATTTCTAAAAGTTATCATCAGCATTTAATCATTATCAGCCTAATAATTTGAATACTGTACTCCTGGAACTTTGGAGTGCTGAACTTTCTGATGATCACATGATTTGAGAAATGCTTAAAAGGAAACATTTTTTTCCTTTCTTTTAATCTTTTGCAATATGTTTGAACAATTAAAAAGAATGACATTTTAATTTGACAATTGGATGAAATTTGTGTTTTTTTGCCCATTCAATTGTTTCTTGGACAACTTTTTTTGTTTGTTTATGCTTCTGAATTGTGGAAAAATCCTAATCATAATATTTTATATTAAAATTATATACTGCACATTTCAATTTAAAATTTGGATGAAATTTGTGCTTTTGCCTGATGGTACATTTTGCAAGTAAAAATTTGTTTCTTGCATATGCTTCTCAATTGTAAAAATCCTAGTTATAATACTTTATTTAAATTTCCATTGAAAAATTAAATGTTTTCTTGCCAGTTGAATTTTGATTACAGTTTTCTTGCTCAAGCTTCTCAATTGTAAAAAATCTTGAGTTATAATATTGTACAATCACTTTGTACATTTAAATTTTAAACTTGCATGCAATTTGTGTGTATTTGCCAGTTGCATTATGATTTTTACACTTTTTTGTTAATTTCTCTCAATTGCAAAAATCTTGATGGATATATTTTACAATCAAATTGTACATTTCAAATTAAAATTTGGATGAAAATTTTGAAATTCTTGCATCTTGTTTTGTGGAAAAAACATTTTTTTGCTTTATCCTTATACATTTTAGAAAAATCCTACTTATAATATTTTAAATTCAAATTTCCCTCATCCACAGTTGATCTGCACACCAGCCAAAGGGCTGCTCAGAAATGTGAGAGTGGGAAAAGCCCTGGCTCCAACTGTGAGTCTGGTGAACCACTCATGTTTTCCCAACTGTGACATCTTCACCACTGGGAACCAACTGGTCATCAGGGCTGTGAGGGCAATCAAAACAGGAGAGGAGATAACCATTTGTTACAAGCAACAAAGGTTTGACTTGGTGCCCTTGGGTGCCCAGGTGCTGGCAGGTGACAGACAGCAAATGCTTTGGGAACAATACTATTTCATGTGCAAATGCCAAGGTGATGTTTCATCAAAAACCAAATAAAGCGCCTTCAAAAGTTTATTTTTTTTGAAAAATGTAATCAATTCTTCACAAGAAACTACATTTTCAAAACATTTTCAACATTGAAAAAATATTAGTTTTTCCAAGAATTAAAAAAAATTAATCATGACCAAAAAATCTTGAAAAAATAGGACCTTTACAATGTGTCAATGTCCTAAAAATAGTGTAAATGCTATTGACAATTTTGCATGATTAAAAAGTCCCAAATAAACATAACAATTGTGGCAAGTGAACCTCATCTTCTCACAATAGTGTTGAAATTATACTTGAAAATTTGCCTTCACCACATTTCAACAGCTGGCTGCAGAGGATAATTTTCCAAAATATTACTAAAAAGAAAGAATTAAGATTCATCTGTCAAAATTATTATTCTTCCATCAAAAAGAATATGACTAACACAACTTTTGATGACCCACTTTCCTCATGTTAAACTCTTGGCTTTTTTTAAATTCTACAAAGGATGTGAACAAAACTGGCCAAAGCCCATCACCATCTTCACCCTGAAATCCCACCCTAAAATGGAAATCAAAAATGTCCAGCAAAACACTTGTGACTGCCCCACAAAAGTGAATCTCTTGCAAGGATTTGAAGCAGAAATGACCCAAACTCTTGAAGATTTGAAAGAATGCAACACTTCAAAGGCTGAAGAAATGCTGCACAAATGGGCCAAAGTTTTGTCTGCTGGTGTTGGTGAAGGGGATCCAAGACTCCACTATGTTTGTGATGTCCAACAATATGCAAATTCCTTGTCAGGCAACATTTTCATTGACTTGTGAAAAAAAAAATGCCAAGATGAAAAACTATACTCAATGAATAATAAACCTCTCAAATTGTTTTTCTCAAGGAAGGATATTTTTCATTATTATTCATTTCAACAAACATAAGATGACCCAAACACCATTTTGTAAATATGCATGGGTGTCACTTGCATATATTGACAATTGTAAATAAAGAAAACTAATCTAAATGGAACCAGCTAATAATAATTACCATAGCCATTCTATCCAAATGATATAGTAATAATGAAATGAAAAAATCATCACCATCTCATAAGAATTGTTACACAATCAATTCTGTACAGCCAAATGATAACCATTCAATTGTAATCAAAGTTTTTATCCATAGAATCAAAGGATTAATGTGATTTTCATTCTGATTTTTATAAAAATTGGCAGACTCTGGATTTCATTGAAGCTGATTCATGGAACCATTGTCCATTGCCACAGTACATCACTGTTGAAAACAATGCAATTATATTGGAATATTTATCAAAAATGAAATGAATCATATTTTCCTGCAAGATATTCACAGTATTGAAGATGCACTAAATTTCTCGCAAAAAAAAAAATTGAAATCAAAATTTGGCGGGCGTCCACAAAAGAAGTTCAGATTTGATGGTCTCCCATCACTGGAGCTGGACCACTGGTGGTGGTGGTGGTGGTGGACCACTTGTGCACCACTAGTTCCCCCACAAACGCCAATCCGGCTCCCAAGTAGCCAATCCCAAGCACCAGAAATACGCTCACCAGGTTCCCCAATCTCACATTCTCATCCGCACCTGAGCCATCATTGTCTGGGTACTCAAACCCCTCCAATACTGACCTGAAAAAAAAATTAATAAAACAGTTATATTATACTGTATACATATATTAGACATATATAAGTATATATACAGTATAATAAATGAATAAATAAATGAAATGAATCAATAAATGAAATCAATCAATAAAAATTTAGTAGATAAAAAAATTAATCAAAAAACCACATTTTGAAAAAGGAAAAAATCACCTTAAACGTGGTGCGCATGGAGATTGTTGGGAAGAAGTGAAATACAAGTGAAATAGATGCGCACCACGTTCAAGGTTATTTTTTCCTTTTTCAAAACATGGTTTTTTAGATTAATTTTTTAATCTACTAAATTTTTTACAGTCTCCAATTGGATTGGAAAGTTTATGCAAAAAAATAAGGATTACATTGGCATCCTGGTTTCAAATTTTTACTATTTTTTTGTGCAGCAAGGTTCAGACTCCATTTTTTGCTCTGTGTGGTTTATAGGAGGCTCTTATGAAGCCTGTACCACTTTTTAGAAAAGCTCGAGTAGGAGAATTTATCATATTTCGAGGTACCAGATGTATTCCTCAAAGTGCGGATTTCTTTATACTACATCAGAGCCAGTTGAAGTTGAAATTCTTCAAGTCAAACTTTAGGGGACCAACCAAAGAATTTCCAGCTTCAGGGAGATTTTCAGTCAGGGAAACAAGCATTGTCATTGGGGAAAAGGAATAATAATTGAGAGAATTTGCAATATGTGGATTTCTGGGCCTTGTATTGCTTCTTTAATGAGTTGAAAGCATGCTAAATGTGGGGGCAAGGATTCATTTTGCTCAAATATTCTTTCACTTTCTTTCAAAATTTGTTAGGTTACATTATTGCTTTTCTCTTTTGCCTGTGTCAATATTAGCCCAAACGCCTCCAAAAAATTTGAGTTATGGTGGTTTCAGGGAGAAAACATTTGAGGAAGAGAGGTTTTATTGCGTTTTTTCTAAGGGAATTCCAACTGGGACTTGAAAAGAATTCAACATAAACAGGAATTTGACTCTTTAAGAGATTTTTGAGTTATCAAGACCCAACTGTACATCAGTACCTCATTGCAGAACAAATTTAATTTGTTTTTTGCAGTGATTACTTTACGTGAGGTGTTTATTATGCAAAACATGATTTCCCAATGCAAACACATCAATTTTTGTCACATTTCAGGCTTGTTATCTGATAAACATTTAGTGTGTGAAGTACTTAAGCATTTGTCATGCAGATTGTTTGTTCTGCAGCGTAATTTGTATGTGAGGTACATACCACTTGATTTACATACAGTTGAACCTCAATAACTGAAAGCTCCATAAATCAAAAATTTCATTGTGGTCAACCATGTATGTGCATATCCAATACTTGAATAAAAATCTTTTTGAAATTTCAGAAACACTGAGTCTATTTTTCAAATGAATTCTGCCTCTATAAGTTCTGCATTCTGTCAACTCATTCAAGAAGCAGTTTTTAAGGCCCAGAATATCAAAAATTACAATTTCCTGCAATTCTTCCGCATTTCCAACGACAGACATGTGATGGAATGTGTTGGGATGAATCTGTGAGAAGGGAAGATGGCCTGGATGTGGGAATTTTGCTTGAATTTTTGTGTGAATGCTGAAAAGCAAAAAAAAAGCTTGCTGTTCAATTCAATTCAAATTCACAACCGAAATACTTTTTCCATCAACTCAAAACCTCTGTCCAAGATCAATTTTGTTTTGCTGCTGGTCCCTTGAAATTTGACTTTGTTTTATTGGAGAGGTTTGGCTGTTTAAGCCAGTACAGTCAACCCCCATCTAACGGACTTGATTTGTGCAAGGGACAAGTCTGTTAGACAAAAAGTCCTTTACACAAATTCAATTCCATAAAAAAGTAAAAATTTCAATTTTTAACACTAATTTTAAACCAAAAGAAGTCTGTTTTATTTTGTCTGTTGGGCGGGAGGAAAAACTGCTTGCAGAGCTGGTCTGTTTGGCGAAAATCCCTTACATGTGAGGTCTGTTAGGCAGGGGGCCAATGTATATAGTACTGTACTGATGTACAGGATCCCATATAGTGGTGGAGTGGGGGATCGATTCGAGGAAAAAGAGACAAGGGAAAAAGAAAAGTGCTCTGGTTCATTTCGCCCACGTCACACTTGTCTCAGTCACCTCGGGTCAGTCGCGGCCTTGCTCATCTCGGCTCAGGTCTCTGAAGCCGGTAATCCACATAATCGCAGCATCTTCCGAGTTCCGAGTCGAGCCAGTCAAGTCACGATCCGTTTGTCTATCGATTCCCCTTGGCTTGGGTGAGATGAGGAGGACGACGAGAGGAAACTCTCCATTTTCCTCTCCTGCCCATGGGGTGGATTATGGGAGGAGAATTCGACTCACTCACTCGATATATATATAATACGGATAGTAATTCACACCAGCAATAAGCAGGCCCGAGCTCTGGTGGCCACTTTTCACAATTACAGTCAAATGTCAGCAAATAAATGAAAATGGTTGAAAACGTGTTATTTTTTGCATGATTGTGAACCTCATTATTGTTGTTGTTATTGTTGTTGCTGTTTGTAATACAGCAGTTTCCCAAACTTTTAAATGCCCAGAAGAGGTTTAATTGATCGATTTTTTAAAATTTCAAAAACTGTGATCATCATAATGGACCCATGTTCAGGAAAGCTAATTATAAGTGTTCTGCAGCAAGGTCAGAGTATTTTTGGAAAATGGTGTTCCCATCAGCACTGATGAGGAAAAAAAAATCCTCATTTTGAGCCAATAAAGGCCCTTTATAGTTGGGGAAACATTTAATTTTTTCTTTGTTCCAGCAAACAATTTTGGCTGATCAAAAACTTTCCTCGGTGGGTGGTATTTTTTCTGCATTCCAAATATATAATCATCATTTCATATTTCTGAAAAAAAAAAGGATTTACTCTCCTTGGATCTTACTCTTAGTGACCTTCAGTCAAGTTTGAATGTTATGACGGGGAAAATCTTGAATTTGTAATGGAATAGAAGGTAATCCACTGACATATGAGAGGTAAACTGAATTGAATAATCATCAAAGCCCATGCAGTATTTTGTTCAGCAACCCATAGATATGAAAGGAAATTCCTGTTGCACAAAAGTACAGTATTCTTAGCTTCAATTCTTGGAACAGTATCCAAACAAACAAGTTGGTGTAACAATTTAGCAACAATGAAAGACACAAGAGAGACTACATTCAATCCTTAGGTGATCGTCATTATGGGGAATGCAAAAATGTTGAATATATTTTTTGAAAAGCCTGACCGAATTTTTGAAAATTTTGCATTTGAAAATCTGAACTGATCAGTTTGATACCTCAGTTAAAGTGTGAAACATGGTGAATGCCTTTTGACTTGCTTACCAATATTTATTGATGGAAATATGTAGCTACAATTATTTTATATGAAGCTTGGAAATTTTGAAAAAAAATCCAAAATTTGTGAAACTTAGCAACATTTATTTGAAAATGTTACATTTTTTCTTCATAGGAAATGTTTTGGAATCATACACAATACTGTGTGTAGGGATTTTTTTTAATGTTCGCAATCATATACAATACTTTTTGTTAGGTTTATTTTACCATTGAGTCATGAATATACGTGAGCTACGCTTTGCTTCATTCTCAAAATTCCAAGATAATGTCACAGAATTCATCATGATAACATGATCAGTAAAACAAACCTGACTATAAAGTAAGTTATCAACCAACATCCGAGAGTACTAAAGCTTCGAAGTGTGAGATCTGGAAGTTACTTGCGAAGATATTTGCAAGTTTGATCAATAATCCCAGTAATCTCTTTGTTTTTTATTGCCGGGGAAGTTTAAAGTATCAATTAACGGCCTGTCTATAGCGAGAAGTACTTTTTAGCACTTATGATTGTAGTAGAAAAAAAAAACGTAAAGCAAGGTACTTGATGAAGAATCACTGAATGAGAAGTAGAACAAAATCAACTAGAAAACCTCTCTGAAAATACGCAAGAACTTCAATTTAAAAATTCATCACTTCACTTCTTATGCATTCAGGTATGAGATGTCAAAAAAAAAACATGTTCTGCCCTTGAAGCAAGCAAGGCCGAAAAATAATTCTCTCTCTTCATTTCCTAAAATTGTTTCAATCAAAGTTTATTTCTTTAAATGACTGACCTTGATGATGCTACGAAAAAATTTTGCAATCCCCACGTGAAAACGCAGTAGCTAAATAACTCATTTCATTTCCAATTTCGTGAGAATGTTTTTCATCTAAATAAAAAACCTACCT